TTATACAATCAGGGAGCTGGGTATCCAATTTTATGTTTTTTTATTATTATTATTATAAAAACACAAAAGTACCAAAAAGTTCCCTTTTATATATTCTCACTTCCTCCGGGCTCTACATGCTTAAATTCATGTTTCTGGGTTCAATATTATAGATAATTCAAAAAGTACCTTTTGAAGAACCAAAAAGTCCCCTTTTAAAGGTTCTCACTTAATCCGGGCTCTACATACCTAATTTCATGTTTCTAGGTTCAATATCATAGAAAATTCGAAAAGTTCCTTTTGAAGAACAAAAAAGTAAAATACCTTTTCCTTTAATTACATGTTTCTAGGTTCAATTTAATAGAAAACTCAAAAAAGTACCAGTCGAAGAACGATAAAGTACCAATAAGTCCCTTTTATAGATTCTCATTTACTCCGGGCTCTACATGCTTAATTTCATGTTTCTATGTTTAATTTTAAAGAAAATTCAAAAAGGTAACTGTGTAGAACGAAAAAGTACCGAAAAATCTCTTTATTAATTTCATGTTTCGATTTCAATATCATAGAAAACTCAAAAAGTACCAGTTGGAGAATGAAAAAGTACCAAAAAATATCACTTGGTACCGGTGTTCCAAATTACACCCCATTAGCATATTTAGTGTTTCTAAATCTAAAAATTGTATATAAATTGGATAATTATGTTTGAATAAAATCAAATATCCCGCTTTTACCCCTTTTGGTACTTTTTTCCTCCCCATTAACGAAATAAAAATTTTATTCCAAAAAGTTGCAACATCGTATTGGGAGCCCGTTATTATGTATTCATATGTTTAAGGGCGGGTTTCTTACTACTCAGTTAAACTAGGCTTAACTTGCTGTTAGATTAAACTCGGAACAAATGTAGGCGGACTTTAACCGATGATTGTGTTTTTCAGTTATGGATTTAAGTTCAGTTAACTTTGTTAGTATTGCCAACTTTTCACTCAAAAATATAAACAATGAACAGCTGTTTTTTGCAAATAATACTTTTGTAAAATGAAAATTTTTGGAAAAATGTTAAATAAACATTTAAAACAATAGTAAATAAAACAAAACGAATCGGAAAATTGCAATTTACTTAAAATATTAAGTTTTTATTCTTCCGAAATCAGTGTTTTATTGTTTTTATTAATTGTGTCTTCTCACTTATAACTTAAGTTTAATTGGCCAATAACACTCAGTAAAACTAAGATAATAAGTAACGTTACTGTTTACTGAAAAACACAAAACATATATTAAACTAGGTTTAAACAAAGAATGTAGATTATCTTTATCTGAAAAACCCGCCCTAAGTTAAAAAACCAAAAACAATGTTCTATGAAAAAAGTACCAAAAATAGGTACAATTTTCACCCCTTATACGTTCGAATATCCAAAAAGTACTAAATTCATATTTTTATTTTTTCGTCAAGTTATAAAGGAGTCAAAAATATTTTTTGATGTTCCCTGGCTTAAAAGATACATGGGGAGCAAAAAGTTCCAAAATACAGTTTTTACCCGTTTATTCCCTAAAGGCCCGAATTTGAAAAAAGTACCAGACACTTATTTTTTAAATGAACGACGATAAGCTTTAAATTGTTTTTGTATCTTTTATAGAGAGTTAAATTTTTTTATTTTTTTCCATCCCTGCATAATTTCTCACACAACTTTTGTGCTTGCTCTATTTTATTGTTATAAATTATACACAAAATCCCACGTTTTTATCTCCCGGATTCCGTTTTTATATAAAATCTTTGGAAATTTGTAAATTAAGCGTATTTGATACTTAGCCGGCTTACAGTCGATTTTAAGCCGCCGCCGATATTTTTAGTGTCAGCCGCCTGGGCTCTGTTCGGAGCAGGTCTCTTTTCGTTACACAATGAGAATTGTTTTTCATTCTCTTGCATTGTCTAAAAAACAATTGCAAATTGTAAAGTGTTGTCAGCAAATTTCATCTTCCACAAAACGTTTAGTATCCACTAGAAAAGTGCTTGAAATGACCGGAGAAACTACGAAAACAAATGCTGCCATCGATTATCCAACTCCTCGCAAAGATGAGAGCTATGTGGAAAAATTACACGGCGTCGAAATCAAAGACGTCTATCGTTGGCTAGAAGACCCTGATTCGGAAGAGACAAAGAAATATGTCGATTTGCAAAATGAAATTAGTCAGCCTTTTTTGGAAAATTTTGAGGCTTGGAAGAAAATCAATGAGAAGTTGTCGAAATTGTGGAATTACGAAAAATATGGTTGCCCCACGAAACATGGTGATTACTATTATTTCTACAAGAATACCGGCTTGCAAAACCAGAGTGTTTTATACCAACAGGACAAGTTGGACGGAGAGCCGCGCTTATTTTTCGATCCTAACGCTTTGTCGACAGATGGCACTATAGCTTTGGCTCAAAAATCATTTTCGGAAGATGGCAAATATATGGCATATGGCTTGAGTGAAAGTGGCTCAGATTGGGTTAAGATTTATGTGCGCAATGTAGAAACCGGCAAAGATTTGGATGAGGTCTTGGAAAAGGTAAAGTTTTCTGACATATCTTGGACCAAAGACAACAAAGGTTTCTTCTACGGTCGTTATCCTGGACAAGAGGGAAAAACAGATGGTTCGGAAACCAAACAAAATGAATTTCAAAAGCTTTACTACCATTATTTGGGACAACCTCAAGAGAAAGATATACTGATAGCAGAGTTTCCCGAAGAGCCAACGTGGCGCATACAATCTGAAGTTTCGGATTGTGGCAAATACCTTATAATGCCCATAGTTAAAGACTGTCGCGATAACATACTCTACTATGCTAATCTAGAAGAGGCTGGTGAAATTACCGGCAAACTGAAAGTTAATAAAATTGTAGAGAAATTTGAGTCCGATTACCAATATGTTACAAATTTGGGTTCAAAGGTTTTCTTTAGAACGAACAAAAATGCTCCCAATTATCGTATTATTGCCATAGATTTTGATGATTATGCTGAAGAAAAATGGGAAACCTTAGTGGCCGAGCATGAAACTGATGTTTTGGATTGGGCCCGTTGTGTGGATGATGACAAACTTGTATTGTGTTATATACAAGACGTCAAGAGTGCCTTACAAGTGAATTCTTTAAAGGACGGCAAATTGATTAGTAAATTTGAGTTGGACATTGGTACGGTAATGTCCTTCTCAGGCGATAAGAAATATTCGGAAGTTTTTTACAATTTTTCATCTTTCCTTAATCCGGGAACCATATATCATTATGACTTTAAGTGGAACGATTTCAAGCCAAAGGTATTGCGTGAAATTAAATTGAATTTGGAAAACTTTTCGGCTGCCAAATACAAGGTGGAACAAGTATTTTACAAGAGCAAGGATGGCACGAAAGTGCCTATGTTTATAATCTACAAAAATACCGATGTCATCAAGCCAAGACCTTGCCTTTTATACGGCTATGGTGGTTTCAATATCAGTATGCAGCCTTCCTTTAGTATTTCTGGTCTTATGTTCATTGACTCGTTCGATGGCGTACTGGCCTATCCCAATTTACGTGGTGGTGGCGAATATGGTGAAAAATGGCATAATGCCGGCCGTTTGTTGAATAAACAAAATGTATTTGATGATTTCCAAACTGCTGCTGAATATTTAATGGCCAATAACTATACTACCAAAGATCGTTTGGTTATACAAGGTGGCTCCAATGGTGGTCTGCTAGTGGGTGCTTGCATAAATCAACGACCCGATCTCTTTGGTGCTGCTGTAGCTCAAGTAGGTGTTTTGGATATGTTACGTTTCCACAAATTCACCATTGGCCATGCCTGGTGTTCGGACTACGGTAATCCCGATGAAAAGGAACATTTCGAGAATCTTTTGAAATATTCGCCACTACACAATGTTCATACACCGAAGTCGCCTGAAGAGGAATATCCTGCTACTTTAATACTAACTGCCGATCATGATGATCGTGTTAGTCCTTTGCATTCATTGAAATTCACTGCCGCTCTACAGGAGGCTGTTCGCAATTCTGAACATCAAAAGAATCCCATTTTATTGCGTGTCTATAGTAAAGCTGGTCATGGTGCTGGCAAGCCAACATCGAAGCGCATCGAGGAGGCCACCGATGTTCTTACGTTTATGCTTAAAAGTCTTAAGGTTGAAAATGTTAATATTTAAAGGAAATAAACCAAGCCAATGTGTATTAACAAAGTTGGTATATCACAACAATCTAGCGCCATCTTTTATAAATAGAACATTTAAAATATTGTTAAACTAATATTCATTCATACGTAGATATAAATGAAATCGTATTCAAATCTATTATAGCTCTTTCTATATATAAAAACAAACACTTTGTTAGTGCATGATAATAATAAAACTTTTTATATCTATTGTATAACGTTACAAATTATTAAATAAATAAATGCATTTCATAACAGCTAAAAGAAAATTAAATTTGCGTTTGGATTTAATCTCCCCTATTCTGCATTTCAATTCGAATCGAAATTTTCTTCGTTTGGCAACTATTGTATTCTGCATTTCGATTCGACTATCCGCCAAATAAACAACAACTTAGAAAAGCGTAACTACGATCGTAATGCACAATACACACAATCGTAAAGCATTGAAACGAAATGGAATTGCTTTTTATTTTTCTTACGATTCAGTTTTTTTGGAATACCTTTTTTCGATCGTTACGTAACTGAATGCGTAAACGTAGAATGTAGAATAGGTGTGAATGTCTAAAGAACTCTCTTCTTCGACTTGGTTGTATTATACAACTTGTATTCCGTTATCCTCTTTATTTGTTTTTTCTAGCGTTTTGTTTCTCAATCTTTGGATCTTCACACTTTACAAAGAGAATCACAATGGTCCCCGAGGGGAGAAGCACCTTTTTATGGTGCATATTAACAGTTTAGCTTGAAGACCGTTACTAGGTAACGGAAGTTTGTTATTTTTTAAAATAATATTCCCGCAACACTTTGAACCAATAAATATTAAGGATAAAGTTGAAAAGGATTCAAAAAAATATTAAAACATCCTATTATAAACCTCCTGTAATTATGTCCTCACGTAAAAATTCCTTAAAAAACAACTCGGAGTTCTCATTAAACTCGACTACATCCAATACAAATTCCAATGCCAGTGCAGATATAACGGATAAGTCAATAAATTTAAATGAATTTTTGGATTTTTTAAATTTGTCGTGTCATGTTAATGACATGATTTCCCACAATAGTGAAGAACAACAAAGACAACATAAGGAACATTTTCAAACGACAAAATCGTCTAATGGTGCGACCGGTTTGACCACGGCTCGTCCTAAAACCTATGGTACACAAAGTCCTATAGATTTTCATAAATTATCTCAAAATCGTTTAGTAAATGATTTATATGGTTTTAATCGCCATGTACGTTTACCGGCTGAGGAAATAGGTGAGAATAATGTGGGCGCCGTGGGTGTTGAAGTTACACGTCCTTTACGACGTGCCTCTACCTTAACAACAACTTCAAAAGTATCAAGTAAAAATGCAGAAGGAGGTTTGCATCCGAAATTAAATGAAAAATTGGATTATGTTTTAAATGAGGGCATTTTGGATGCAGTTTTACCTTTTATTTGTCCAGTGCCACTGCCAGCTAATTACACTAGTCGTTTGAAACCCAAACAACAAAGAGAAGGCAAAGATATCAAAAATGTTACAGCCCAATCATCTGTTATGCCTGGCGAAGAAACAAATGAGTCAGAATGCGCTGCAAACAAGGATTCCGCCACTAAAGTAAAAGCTAAAACAAGTGTAACACAACTAAAGTCCTCGACAGTGGTTAATGCCACCAAAAAGGAGTAAGTATTATAATATTATAAATACATATATTTTGCGCAAAAAACTGCCACTTGTATTTCTCTTTAAGTCCGGAAGTTGTTATACATGTTTGTGATGAGGTGAAAAATACTTCTAAGGATTTCATGTGTCCTCAGAGTTTGCTCGTCAGCAAGATGGGTTACTTTGCCGATGTTACTGCCGGTCAAAAGCTCGAGGATATGGATATATCGGTACACTGTGACATACAAATCTTCGAATGGCTTATGAAATGGGTAAAATCGGAGAATGCCACTAGCAGCACGTCTAGTGTAGATCCTAACAATGATATGGCACCAAATTTAAATGTTAATAATGTGGTTCCCATATTAGTTTCAGCTAGTTTTTTACAGGTATAATACATAGTTCGAATACGAATATACGAATATTTTAGATACTGATTACGGAGTAAAGTCTCTAAATTTATAATTATTAAAACCAATATACATATATTTTAGATGGAACCCTTGCTTATGGATTGCTTAAGCTTTTGTCACTCCCGCTTGGGTGAAGTGGTACGAGTTTCTACCAATCTCTCCTGTTTAAATGATACCATAATCACCCGCATGGCTGCCATGTTCACTAATGTTGAATTGGAAATGGTGTGTGATAAAAAGGATCGTTTATTGCCGCGTTTATGGACCAAACTTATCTTGAGTCTTTTCGAACCAGAAACGGAAGCTTTAAGGGGTCATTACTATAGTTTATCGGGTTTATTTAAATGTGCAAAGTATATATCGGCCATTTTATATTTAAAATAAAATGAATACTAATTAAATCATAAATCTTAAATAGATGTCAAAAATGTTTAACCAATACCATGAAGTCCTATATACAGTGTATACCAGGTAATGTACGTTTAAATCGTTGGGGTCAAATTGTTAGTCATCATGTGCGCGAATCTTCATGGGATTTGAATTACTATATAGCCCAACTATTTAAAGAGGTTAAATCGTGGCGTTTGGTCTATTGGAAACTATGGGGTCATGCTCATTATTTGTACTGCTGTCTGTGTGAAATGTACTTTCCGGTTTATCAGATGTCTTGGTGTCGTTATCATCCCGAATCACCTAGCTTTCTCGGTCCTGTTGCCGAGGGTCGTACTACAGGTCCAGCTGGTCGTTATGCTTGTTGTGGCCAACAGGCTTTTCGTTATGAAACCTTACCGGGTCCTCATGTAAGTTATGATTTTAATTTCATTTTCAATATTTTAAAATTTCTTTTACTTTAGGGCTGTCAGTTTCGTGAACATAGCGTTTTAGTAGAAACTGATCGTGAACGTTCTATATTATCTATAGTGCAGTTAGCTATTGAGGGTAAAGCCTTAGGTGATTGCCCTCCACATCGTATGCAAGACTTATTGGCTAATGGAGAAATTGAACACAGATGGATGGGTATATCGTTGATGCCTCAACGTTGTCGTCAGGGTTTGTTGCCGGTTTTGAATCCAGATGGTAAGTTAAGGTTGGACATTAAGTATGACTACTAGTGTTGTATTAGTGACTAATAAGTAAGTAAGTAAGTAAGTAAAGTAAGTAGTAAGTAAGTAAGTAAGTAAGTAGTAAGTAAGTAGTAAGTAAGTAAGTAAGTCAGTAAGTAAAGTACGTACGAAGTAAGTAAGTCCGTAAGTCCGTACGTAAAGTACGTACGGCCGTAAGTCCGTCCGTCCGTCCGTCCGTCCGTCCGTCCGTCCGTCCGTCCGTCCGTCCGTCCGTCCGTCCGTCCGTCCGTCCGTCCGTCCGTCCGTCAGTCCGTCCGTCCGTCCGTCCGTCCGTCCGTCCGTCCGTCCGTCCGTCCTCCGTCCGTCCGTCCGTCCGTCCGTCCGTCCGTCCGTCCGTCCGTCCGTACGTCCGTCCGTCCGTCCGTCCGTCCGTCGTCCGTCCGTCCGTCCGTCCGTCCGTCCGTCCGTCCGTCCGTCCGTCCGTCCGTCCGTCCGTCCGTCCGTCCGTCCGTCCGTCCGTCCGTCCGTCCGTCCGTCCGTCCGTCCGTCCGTCCGTCCGTCAGTCCGTCCGTCCGTCCGTCCGTCCGTCCGTCCGTCCGTCCGTCCGTCCGTCCGTCCGTCCGTCCGTCCGTCCGTCCGTCCGTCCGTCCTATCCGTCCGTCCGTCCGTCCGTCCGTCCGTCCGTCCGTCCGTCCGTCCGTCCGTCCGTCCGTCCGTCCGTCCGTCCGTCCGTCCGTCCGTCCGTCCGTCGTCCGTCCGTCGTCCGTCCGTCCGTCCGTCTCCGTCCGTCCGTCCGTCCGTCCGTCCGTCCGTCCGTCCGTCCGTCCGTCGTCCGTCCGTCCGTCCGTCCGTCCCTCCGTCCGTCCGTCCGTCCGTCCGTCCGTCCGTCCTCCGTCCGTCCGTCCGTCCGTCCGTCCGTCCGTCCGTCCGTCCGTCCGTCCGTCCGTCCGTCCGTCCGTCCGTCCGTCCGTCCGTCCGTCGTCCGTCCGTCCGTCCGTCCGTGTCCGTCCGTCCGTCCGTTCCGTCCGTCCGTCCGTCCGTCCGTCCGTCCGTCCGTCCGTCCGTCCGTCCGTCCGTCCGTCCGTCCGTCCGTCCGTCCGTCCGTCGTCCGTCCGTCCGTCCGTCCGTCCGTCCGTCCGTCCGTCCGTCCGTCCGTCCGTCCGTCCGTCCGTCCGTCCGTCCGTCCGTCCGTCCGTCGTCCGTCCGTCCGTCCGTCCGTCCGTCGTCCGTCCGTCCGTCCGTCGTCCGTCCGTCCGTCCGTCCGTCCGTCCGTCCGTCCGTCCGTCCGTCCGTCGTCCGTCCGTCCGTCCGTCCGTCCGTCTCCGTCCGTCCGTCCGTCCTCGTCCGTCCGTCCGTCCGTCCGTCCGTCCGTCCTCCGTCCGTCCGTCCGTCCGTCCGTCCGTCGTCCGTCCGTCCGTCCGTCCGTCCGTCCGTCCGTCCGTCCGTCCTCGTCCGTCCGTCCGTCCGTCCGTCGTCCGTCCGTCCGTCCGTCCGTCCGTCCGTCCGTCCTCCGTCCGTCCCGTCCGTCCGTCCGTCCGTCCGTCCGTCCGTCCGTCCGTCCGTCGTCCGTCCGTCCGTCCGTCCGTCCGTCGTCCGTCCGTCCGTCCGTCCGTCCGTCCGTCCGTCCGTCGTCCGTCCGTCCGTCCCGTCCGTCCGTCCGTCCGTCCGTCGTCCGTCCGTCCGTCCGTCCGTCCGTCCGTCCGTCCGTCCGTCCGTCCGTCCGTCCGTCCGTCCGTCCGTCCGTCCGTCCGTCCGTAAGTCCCTTCTTGCACTTCTCTCTGCTTCTTCCCTCCCCCCATTTTTCGATAGAATCAACATCACGTTTGGCTAGACGTGTAAGACCTGCTTCATCGAAATTCTTTGCCGATTCCAGTACGGAAACAGAGAGTACAGATACTTTGGATAACATACGCATATCAAAATTTGGAATGGCGTCTTATAACGACAGTTTTTCTACCAGCAGTAGTGATGGATGTGAGTCATCGGATAGCAAAACATTTGCGCCAAATAAAACTTACCACAAAAAACAGAATAGAAAAAGGTAAAGAACTAAGGAAATATGCAATACAATTTAATTTAGCTTTCTTTTAATTCACTAATAAGTAAACCCATTGAAAATCCTGGGCGTTATTGGTCTGGTGAGTTATCGGCACGCAGTAATCAGGACCATCAGAGAGAGTTTGAGGAAAAAGTAATGAAACAAGTCATGACTATGGTTCAAAAGAAAACTGGCTCAGATTTAGGTGTTAGTCAACAGAATCGACCTTTGGGTGGTACTTATGTTAAATTGGAACAAGAATGGAAGGAGCAGCTGAAACAACGCCTGTATACTTTAGGTGGCAGTACGTCTGCAAGTGCTCAAATGGGCAGCATTAATAGTAATAATATTGCATTGAATATTAAAGGTTCACGAAAGAAAGTCGATAATAGTGGACAATAATAATTGCTTTTAATTTATGATAGATTGCTAAGTATGGAATCTTCACAACTCTATATTAACTAAAGGCATACTTTTAGATAATACAAATGTTAGTTGTTTAGTCTTTTACAAATTAAATAAAAAATTTAAAAGTAACTTACAGAAATTTAGTATTATTCATTGTATAAGTGTCTTGCAGGACTTTGCAAATTTCAAACAATTATTTAAAAACGTACAAATTGCTTCTTTTAGTTTGTGTATTATGATATTTATAAATCGATTTAAACCATAAAATTATTGAATTTTTACATACTTTTTCTCTTCTTTACAATCTTAACACATTAATTGCTTTTTGTATTCATTTTATTTTTACTTTAAACTTAATGAAATTTTTTTGTTCTTTGTTTCATTACAAACTAATTTTGTTCATTTTAAATAATAATTTTGTTTCAATTAAATTGCTATTGTAATTGAAGAAAACCAAAGTTCAAAAGGAGCACAATTTTTAAGGTTTTACCAATAACTAAAAGAAACTAAAGAACTGATTAAATGCTTAAAAAGAGAAAAGGTTTTTAAGTTAAGTTTTATTAAATTAAATACAAAATATGTTTCTTGAAGCCTTATATAAGCCAAAAACAGTTCAACTGTCTTTATAATTCCAAGACTTTAACAATAGTTTACCGAAAATAAATTTAAAACAATTTTTGTTTAAAAGTACAAAATCTCAACACAAATTAAAACTGAGAAGAGGAAATTGGAGGATTTAAAAGGTTGGGCACACACAATAAAAAAATTATAAAAAATAAATATTAAAAACAAAATACGAAAAAGGAAAGTTGTTAGAAAATTATGAGGCGCTCAAGTGCAGATTGTTTTCGTTTTGATGTTTCTTGTTGTGTTTATTAAACTTTAAAGCGCAGCAAACCCTTTATTTGTGTTTTATTAAAACTTAAATAATCCCCACGAATTGCTACAAATATGGGGTGTTGGAAAACGAAGCTAACTAAATAGACTTTCAGTGGCTTTTTCCAAATCCCAGTTTTCTTTCGATAGAACAGCACGTGCATCATGCTCATCTATGCCCATATCCTTCAAACGTTGTATTTTGGCATCACAGTCTGGATATTTATGGGGACCTATTGATAATAAATTAAAACAGAAATTGTTTGAAGAAACAATTAACTAAAGTAAAACTTACCACCCGCATAAACATTGGTCCAATGCCGGGCTGTTGTTACAAATAATTGATATTTATCTTTATATTGGTAAGCTACGACAGCATCTTGTGGATCATCGGGTTCAGCTGCAGCTAATAAGGCTTGCAACGACAATAAGACTGTACGTAATGTCATAGCAGCGGCCCTTTAAGAAGAAATTAATCATTTTGAATTAATGTTCTTAATTAAATGTCTTAACTTACCAGTTATCTTTTAATATATCCAAACATATGGCACCAGTTACCGAAGATATATTGGGATGCCAAATTTTTGTTATAAAACGCACCTGTGTGTAAATTATATGTAAAACATATTAAAACTATTTAAATCATTTACATTTACTTTACCTTGGGTGGATTGAATGGATACGTTTCGGGTACTTTAATTTCTAGTACAAATTTTCCACCTTCATATGGTGTATCTGGTGGACCAGCTATTTCACCACGTAATTCAGTCCAACTGTCATTGATTAATTCAATTTTAATGGAGCATTGAACAATCTGAAAATAAAAGATAAATTGTTATTATTATTTACTTGAATATTGATTTAATATTCGTTGAATATTTGGACATTGTAAAATTTTCAGGTCAGTGAGGGTATGAACAAGACATATTTTAGGAGGAGTCTACGAATTTGTGTTAACTGGTTGCTTAGGTTTTTGGGTCCACCTCATTTTGGTCCCCTTATGATGCCCTAATGGTTGTAATAGTCCTTTATAGTATTACTCACTACTTGTAGTGTAAAACCGATTTAGGAAATATAAGATGATTTATCCCAAATAGCTCCACCAAACATGAGAGATCAGCAGAAACAATATAAGGGGAGATGAGATATAGTCATCCCTTCCACCTCATTATGATGTAAGATGTATGTTCTGCCAGTAGCACACTTAACAGTAAGTTTGATCTAGGGACGTCATATAGAGGCCAGATTGACATCGATGTAAGAAAGGTGTTTTCGCTTAATCATCTGATAAGAGCCATTTTATATGGTTCAATTTGAACAAAAGCCTTACAGTTTGTAAGGGAAATACCAGGATAGGCTTCGATTTCATTCTTCCCCCTCATCGCACCATTGCTGGCTAGATCCATATATGCGTTATCATAGAATGTTTCGCTATCTCATTCAGAGATACCCTGCATTCATCGGTTAATCTAGATGTCGTGAAAACATCCGATAGATTTCTGTTCACGACTTTGCTAACCTTATATATACATTTATGCATCTCCCGATAGGTGATAATACCTCAGACAGTTTGCCGTTCGTTAATTAATTTATTCCAAATCTCTTAATGTTAAAATCACCATCCACCCTACCATTCCTCATGGAGACATTTGGACATTTGCTTTAAATATTTTTACCTCCAAAAATAAACGTCCACAGGAAATCTGTGGCACACGCGGAAGGCACGCCTGTAGAAGGAATATTTTATGCAATATGATGTGCGGTCCATTGTAAAATCGACCAGAAGTGGATGTATTCTTGAAGAAAGGAAATCTGCAAATATCGGCGACAAGTTCCCTCTCCTCTACGCGGTCTAGTATCCCTAAAATAGACTTCGAAGCTCCGAACCATACATAAATAAGAACATATGTAAGTAGTGCGTATAGTAAGGAGATCAGATGGGGTGAAGTACATATGTCTTACACCGTTTAAAAAAAACGAAAACACTTGAATGCTTCTGGTGACACTTTACAAACTCCATTGGTGGTCAAAGTTGTCTGTTGTGTAGTATGTAATAGTATGGACTATAGCCTAAATGTTTATAGAATATATGTATGTAGTTCCTCGCTAGATAAATGAACGGGCAAAGTTAAATATTAGAATTTTACTTCTGATATCTGGTAAATATAAACTATGTAATTTAATTAAGAATTTAAATAGATATAGAGATAATGTAAAAATCCACAAACATTTAGAAACAATCGATATAATTGTGAAATTTTCAACATAAATAAAAAGGATATATACTATTTAGTACTCCAATGATTCATTGGCTAAAATCATCGAAAACTATAACAAACTTACAACTTAAGAAGAAAAACAAATTGTTGACAATTTAGCCAACAAATTAATATAATAATCAAGGGCAACCACATTTCCACTTTGACAAAAAAATAACAAAATCACACCGTAATGAAGCAACAACAACAATAAACAAAAAATTCACAACAAATGTTATAAAAGAAAAAAATAAAAAGCAACGAAATAAAGTAAAAAGGAAAAAACTAGGTTAGGGGCCAATATCAAGCCAAATCAGCCAGTTAGCTAAACTAAAAAAGATGAATATTATATAGTTTTGAAAGAAATTAAACGAATTGGCACTAAACTTACCTCCTCACTGCGCATAACTTCCTTAAATTCGCGCTTAATACGAGATACTGCCATATTAGCCATGATGGTCGCAATTTATTTTATTTTCTTTTGTGGTTAAAAACTTCCTTGGTTGGACTTGATAGATGATGGTTGTTTGTCTTTTGCTTATTTACTTAGCGTAACTTTGACCCCAACAGTTGCTGACGGTCTTCAATGATGATGAGCAGCTCACAGAACAGAAATTTATTTAAAAATTTTGTTTTTGTTTCAAATCTTCTTTAGTTGCGTTCTTCTTATTGTTTTTCTTTTTTATATTTTATGCTAAACGGACGAACGAATGAAAGAAAGAACAATTGTAAAAACTCACTCACACAGTCAGGGGCAATTTTTTTGCAAAAGCACACCACGCACACACAAACTTTTAGCACAATCAATTTGCCAAAAAAGAACAAACAAAAAATTGTTTTTTAGTTAGAATTCTATAATTTTATTTTAATTCATATAAACTTTATTTAATAAATATACCGAGTTGTTTTCCTTATTAGTTTTTAGTAGTTGTTTAAGTGGTTATTTAGTTATTTCAAAATCTCGTTTGTTAGAATTTTTTCTTCATCTCTTCAAGCAAAAACTAAATTTTCATTGTTGCTCGCTCGCCAGAGACCTGCGCCGACTAAATCTAACGGTGACGACGGCTGGCAATACAAATTTTGACGGCGCCTTAAAATCGACTTTAAACCGGCTAAATTTTTAAAAACGCGATTTTCTTAACGGTATTCATAATCCTTTATAAAAACTAGAAAAATGTTGTTTTAAATTTTTAATTACGTACTTGTTTTATGGGCTTTTTAATATTGTGTAAAATCATTTTAGTCAAAAAATATCGTAATCATGCACAAATGTTAAGCCTAATATTTCGAATAGAAAACATTTATCAATGTCTTTATGTGGATATAAATTTTCGAAATTATTCGATTACAAACTTAACTAAAAATGTGTCGCCAAACCGACATCGATACCAGAAAGTGGATATGTTGCTTCCAAAATTAAATTTTTAAAACTATGAACTCAATGACAAACTTCCAATAACTGTCTGTGAACAACCAATTGTATATTTACACATAATGTAAAAAGCTATGCAATAAAAAAGTGGAAGAGAAAACATTGTTACATAACGGTATTATTAGGTTGTCAACTCGTAATTAATATCTTTTAGAACTTTTAATATATATTTTTTAAAATAATTTATTTAACCTTAAAACTAACTTTAACCTCTATACTGAGCTGCACTTGGTAAATCAGCAATAAAATAATTGCCTGGCACATAGCTAAACACTTTTGACAGACGATCTCTCATGATCTCTTGAACGGATTTTGTTAAAGCAGGACGTTCGATTTGATAAAATTCACGCCAATTCTCATTGAATACAGCATTTATACTGTCCTCTAAAGATTTCTGGCCATTGAAAAGATTATCGAAACGTACACGAAGACCACCAACATCTGCAATCTCCAGGTGTAATTTTTCTATATCGGTGAAAGTGTAATCGTAATCATCACGTAGTTTGACTTTTATTTTAAGAATCATAATGAAATTTTCTATGAAATAGAAAAAAATTAAGAGTATTGTTACTAATTTAGTAATATTTTCCACATTTTTTCTAATTTTTCCGTCTACTACCCACCAACTTCCATAAAAGCCTTGCCACTGCTTCTTATAGGTATATTTAAAATACGTCCATTAAGTTTATAATCGAAATCAAAACGTAATTTTGGTGCTAATATATTGGCATATAAAACTAAAGATTTTACATCGAAACTGAAAAAGAAACGGCGACAGCTATTGTTACCGCCAGGATGCCTAATATTTGATATAAAACTTTCATTGTCACAATTTATGTTATATTGTTTCTAATTTTTATAAATATTCTATATAATCGGCTGATATGTGTGTCTTTTAATGTTTACTCCAGAAATAATACTAAATCGTTTTTATAGTAACTGTATATTATTATTATTAAACAAATAATGATTTAAAAAAAATGTTTATTAAAATTTGCATTCATTTTTTTTGAACTTCTTAAAAATCTAGTTTCTCTACGTAGTATCTTCTTCATTTGGTTTGGAACGTTAAAGAATTAATTTTCTATTCATAAATTGCATTACTAGTAATTTGCTTCAATTATAGATTTCAAATAATACATACATATGTACATATTTTGCATATAAACATTTGATAATAATAATCATAAGAATAATTAATTTGATTCAATTATACTGTTTCAAATATTATTTAAATAGAGATAATTCAATGAACTCTATTAAGTCTTATACTCTTCACATTCGTGAGAGTCAATTTAGCCATGTCTGTGTATTCGTCTGTCTGTTCATATGTTTGTTGAAATCAGAAGAAGTTCCCTACTTAAAATCCGCAAAATCCGCAAAACGGTGATTTTAGCATAATTATAAAACAACCCAAGTCTTTTATTTCATCCATTGATTAACATGGCTCAAAATTATTAAAATCGGCATTTAATATAGCTCCCATATAAAATTACATACTCGATAATACTATAAAATTATGTTTATATATTTTAAATTATAATCAATAGAAATCGTCTACCATTCGGTTCATTATTTATTTATTAGAATTAAAGCTTTCAAAATTAGCAAAATGTTAATTTCTCTAAATATTCGACATGTTAATGAATAAAGCAGCTTATAGGTGAAGGGAATTTAAGATTCGGTATAGCCGCATATTCATACATACATACATATGTAGCGCCTAACCTGTTTTAAATTAACTTTGATTTAGGCTAACTGTAAATAAAATGTATTACATTTAATTAGAAAGTGAAATAAAATAAAAACAGATGTTTTTTTTAATTTTTTAAAAATATACTTAATAATTTTAAAAAAATATGTCAATGAATTAGAAACAATTTATTTAATAACGGCTTCTTTGGCGAAGAATACGCTACCTTAATGGTAGTTAAAAATAGGGTTCTATAAATCGACTTTCGAATAATCGACTTTTTGTCGAAAAAAGTCGAAGTCGACTATTTTGTTCCGATAGTCGAAGTCGACTATTTTGTTCCGATAGTCGATAACTCGACTATCATCTATGAAAAAAGTCGAAAAGTCGACTTTGTAAATAAAAGTCGAAAAAAGTCGAAAAGTCAAAAAATCGGAAAGTCGAAAAAAGTCGAAAAGTCGAAAAAAGTTGAAAAGTCAAAAAAAGTCGATAAGTCGAAAAAAGTCGAAGAAAGTCGAAAAAGTCGAAAAGTCGAAAAAAGTCGAAAAGTCGGAAAAAGTCGAAAAGTCGGAAAAGGTCGAAAAGAGTCGAAAATTTTAAAAAAGTGGAAAAGAGGTCAAAAACTCTAAAATAGTCGGAAAACTCGAAAAAAGTAAAAAAAAGTCGAAAATAGTCGAAAAAAAGTAGAAATAAATCGAAAATAGTCAAAAAGTCGTAAAAAATCAAAAAGTCGAAAAAAGTCGGAAAAAGTCGAAAAGTCGGAAAAAGTCGAAAGTCGACCATTTATAAAATACTAAAAGTCGAAAAGTCTAAAAGTCGACTTTTAAATAAATGAAAAAGGTCGAAAAGTCGAAAAATCGACTTTTCATAAAACGGAAAAAGTCGAAAGGTCGAAAAGTCGACTTTTAACTAAATGAAAAAAGTCGAAAAGTCGACTTTTCGTTTCAGTCGACTAGTTAAAAGTAGTTCATCCTTTCAGATTCTCAGTTACTAATTCTTTCAATTTCAAAAATTGTACCATTGGATGAGAAGAAATGAATCAAAAAGGTATCTTATACGAATAATAAGGGTTTATTATTTTATATGTAAAATGTACATGGATCCCAGCAAAATCTTTAAGCTGGAGGTCCACACCACGCGTTCTACGTTTCTTCGCATTCTACGCGGCTGTCAAAAAAGTAAAATCAATGTTGTTGTGTGCTAGAAGTTACAAGCGCAAAAGCGTAGGATGCTTTGACGCGTGGAATGCTTAAGGTGGAAGTACACAACACGAGTTGAGGCGGCAACGCGTTTCACGCTTTTCAAACTTTTCGCGCTTTACAAGCTGCAAGTTACACGCGCCACGCGTCATTTCGATCTTTCTTAAAATGGTAGTACACAACACGCGTTGAGGCGGCAACGCGTTTTACGCTTTTCAAACTTTTCGCGCTTTATAAACTGCAAGTTATACACCACGCGACAGACGTGTTACAAAATACAGTGTGTAACTTGTTAAATAAACATACACTATTTCAACTTTTGTGACAGAAGCCTAAAACGCGTTGCCGCGTAAAGCGCGCGTTGTGTACTTCCACCTTTGAAGTAGATATATTTTCTACTTTTGTAAGCGTGGCACGAATATGTTTGAAAAGCGTGATAGTCGTTGCCGCCTCAACTTGTGTTGTGATTGAAACTCCTAAACAATGTATTAAATAAACGTTCTGAAATCTTTTCGAAATATGCCTCAAAAGTTACGTAATTTTGACCTTATCGCAATAAAAATAATAAAATTTTAATTGTTAGAGTATTTTTGGTCCGCAAAACGACATTTAGTGCATTATAAGAGGCAAACAATTTTTTAAATATAAATTAAAACTTACGACAATTTTAGCGTAAATAATATTCCTCTCAAACCCACTGATAAAGGAGAACTGAGATCCCTTAAAAAAATATTTTTTATTTTTCTCGGATCGATGGAGAGGTATTTCTATATAAAATTCTTATAAATGCAGTTTCTCGAGACTCTATAATGTATGAATATTTAAAAAAAATACGATCAATAAGTATTATTCGGAGTTCCGGTTATATGGGACCTACATAAGTGGAAAAAAGGACAAATTTCAAATATTCTCAATTTCCTTCGTCTTAAGTATAATGTAACAACATATATCAAATGAAACTTCTAGTGGATCAGTATATAATTTGCTAAAGTTTCATGAACATAGACGATTATTCATTAAAACTTTAAAGGACAAAATGTAGCTTACAATTTTTCTTTTCAGTGTTTTTCTAGAAGTCCTTATTTATGAAATGGTGGCAATTGCAAAAATTTCTGTGAACTCCTACCGTTCGTTGCACTTAAAATACTAAATTCATTTTTTAATTGTTTTTAACTTTAAATAATTGCTATTACTTTTCTATAACTGTATATGCACTAGAGATATGTATAACAGAAATTCAAGTATTTTTTAAGAATATTTTGATTAGAATTTAATTTAAATCATTATTTTGTTTGAAGTCTACAATGAACTGGTTTATCTGTAGTCAACATCAAAAGAATTTGAAATTTGGGCATATCACAGTTTATGTTAATAATGATTATTCAATTACTTACATAAATACCCTTCACCTATAACCTTTTTTGTTATGACGTCGACATTTATATGGGCCGATCCAGAAAAAATTTCACAGAATGATTTTTAATAAATACAAAACATATTTAAGAACAATTTAATCCCGATATTTAATTTTTAATTAATTTTTAATTCATGAGTTATTAACTGATTTTCGAAAGTGGACTTTATATAGGAACTATGGTCAATTATGTAGTGAACCAAGTTTTAGATGGTAATATGATTTTTATTGATATTATTGAAATATCAAATTATGAAATTATGAACTGATTCTGGACTTGTTGTCATGGGTTGTTTCGAAATATTTATGGACCTATTTTGCTGACTTTAAATAGGATTGTTGAAGAATCAGAGCTCTCAAATAAAGAATGGGACAAATAATATATTCTATAGATATAATCATAAAATCATGACCCGATACCCTACATCAGTTATGAATATATGTATTTAAAATGTTTTTTGATACATAATACAGATTTCGTTTTTTGGCATAAAGTCGAATTTTATTCCAATACCTATAACATACATACATATGTATATTTATAATATTTACTGACCAAAATAGTGAAGAAATGAACCCTTTTCAAACCAGTTTCAATAGAATTAGTCCTTGGGAATATGGGAGTACGGTCGAATAGACGGACATGTTATAATCAACTCAAGTAATACTGCGTTGATCGGAGCTATATATGTATATACGAAGTAATAGAACGATACATTGATTAGATTCTGCCTTAATTGTATTACCAGACATCTTTGTTTGCTTTAATGTTAGCAAATTAACATTTAAATCGTGAGAAAATCCATTAATTCTTAATAAACAATTTCAAGAATCCGTAATTACATAAATACAAGTACATATTTAAGTAAAAATCGTCTGTGTATATATTTTTGCATATCTACACATATGTTTACTTATTATGTATATTTTTATAGTTCAAAGTTCGTTTATTTTTCAGTCGTGTATTATATTTTTTTATTGTATTTTTCCTATCAATCCATCCATATTATTACTCTTTCTTTAAATATCTTTTGAGACAAAAATTAAATTGTTGACATATAAAAACAAAATTAAAGAATGACTTGGAAACAATCGAGCAGACAGAAAATCTACACATGTCTACAGATACTACGAATGCGATGATTACGTACGATGTGTTCTATATTTTTTCAAAAAGTAAAAATAGTAAGTGCGTGATAAAGCATAATTTTTCGAACATA